CTCCGTAGTACGCCATCCTTCAGAATATTTTGGAACTGCTCATCGTCTCCACTCTCCCATCCACCAATCAACTGTCGACACGCCCTTGCGTCATCTATGAACTCGAATTCAGCGCACTGTCTTTAAAAGGTATGTTCATAAAACTTATACTCTAGCGACAATTCGAACAAAATGGTTGTGCTCACTCTACTGTCCACTGATAATATTTTGCAGCTGCCACCGAATCACCCAGAGCTAATTGCACGAGAACCAAAGCAATTGCGAGCTGACCCACACGTCCTGACTCCTAAAATTCTCCAACACCATTCAATAAGCTTCGAAGACCATTTTTCTTCACTAATTCTCTCGCCAGCGATACCATTCAAGGTAAAGTTTCGTAATAGAACTTACTCTAACTTCGACGTACTTTTCTATTTCATCTCGAATAGCCTTTGCTGCTTCACTATAACGTTCTAGTCGAAGATTAAGACGTGTGATCTGGCTTAGGAATTCTCCTGCTAACTTAGAACGATCAGATTGCTGTACCAACGCGAGTCCTTTTTCATATAACTGGAACCATAAATCCAATTTATATAAATAGATCTAATGGGAAGAATTGAACGCAATTCAAAGACTAAACACATAAGAATAATAGATAACTTCACACCTTTATAGCTTTTTCTGGCTCCTGAAGTACCACGACCTTTGCGGCCTTCTCAACCGACATTGCAGCTGTATCGAGGCTTCCTGATTCTGCATATTGATCAATCGCCTTCTCGAACAATGGGTAGGCCCCTGCACTATCACCGGCATCTCTTAACAACATTGCTGCACCTTCACGAGCTCTGAAAAAAAGCGATGAAAACATAACACGATTCGAAACAGACAACATTGAAAAAGTTCACTGTAATGTAAAATGATTTTTCACTCACTTGGCTGCGTGAAAAAGATTTCCTAGTTGTTCGTAATGACCAGCAGCACTTATTAACGCCTTAGCTGCCTTATTCGCATCTCCAGCATTTCGATAGCACACTGAAGCACGCTCCAAAGCGGTTGCAGCTCCATCGTAATCTGGTTTCAGTTTCAACTTTAACATCGATGTCTTCAAGCTGAAAAAACTGAGTCAATACTAAAGGAATATACTACACTTAACTACCTAGAAATAGCATTCTTTTTCTTTCGAAAAATGCCTTATGCAATTATATGTATTGTTACAATAATATTCCCATAGAGTTTGCTTACATCCGATGTCAGTGGTTAAAAATTCAGTTTGTAGAAGAGATTCATTTCAGTTCACAAAAGCATAGAGGAAATTGTGCAACGTTAACCTTACCACCAAATAAATATGGACCTTTTAGGTGCAAAAGTGAGTTCCAAGCAGAAGATAAAAAGCATGCAGTATAAAACTACTTAGTTCACTCCCGATCAAAAAGGTTTCAGGTCGGAGATCAAGGCGCACCGCACAGGCAACACAAAACCAAAAATATGAAGCATTTGTTCCTCACGTATAGCTCGAAAGAAACACTCTTTTTCCCTAAATATACAAGCAGCATAAGAAACGATCGTTACAGAAACCTTGCAGAAAGTATCGATCACGACGCATTTGCAACATGCAAAGACAATATCTCAAACCGATACATCGCTTGCATAATTCGCACCGCTAACCTCATCCAAAATTTCGCCGAAAACGAATGTTATAGTCAGTCACTACCCCCAAGGAGTGAAGTTCTAACGACAATATTTGTCGCCTCACATAGCTGTAATTGTCGGATAATGAAAATCCTTGAAAAGAACAATTCACGAAACCACAAAAGTTGCTCAATAAACTGCAAAGCATTCGGACAAAAAAAACATTGAAGCTGCTTGAGTGTAGATAACAGGAGAGAGAATCTTACCAGCAAAAACTCAAAGAAAACAAAAAATTTCCAGTAAAAATGCATCATTTTGCAAGTGGTAAAGAAAGACTGGGCTTCAAAGGATGTGATTTCTTTCAAGAAGTGACTCGAGCAGAACCCTCCTGAACAAGCCACACCTATCCCTTGAAGGCAGATATCAGAGGGTAACTGAACTATAACGTAACCCTCCTTTATTCAAGCTTGAAGCAAGAACAAATTTGCGTTTCCCGAATGGAAGCTCTCCAACAAAATAATGCCAGCAGTTCCTTTTTTCAGCGGAGCCGGAAGATTTCCTTTTCCAATTTCGGAATAAATACTAATCACAATGACTCACCACTCCGCAGCTTTCCGCTCGCAATCTGCGGCTTCGCTTAGACGTGCTGAATTCGACATTTGCTTCCAGCAACAAAATCAAAATCTGCAATCACTACCGACTTCAGCATATTCCAAGCCACGATCCAGCACATGATCAAGTAACTTCAGTAACAGTCGCGTCACGCCGATATCACAAAAAATGTTCGCGACAACATCGACACGTTGAAATTCCGAGGCAAGGAGATGAAGTTATTGAAGGACTTGACGAAGAGCGAAAATCAACCTTACCTAACTCGCATTCAATCGAACAAAGGTTGTATGTTCGGGTAGCACTCAATCAAAGGGCGTGCTCGATCTGGTAATCGCACCACTTCTTTTGTTGCAGACAGTATTCCCCAACACCGTGAACCTACAGCCCTTGCTCATCATTGACTTCTATCAATTACACAACAACCCATAGCAACAAAAATGTTATTAGCGACGCTGCTGTATCCCTCCCCCTACGATTGCACTGAAAAAGAAAATTTATTAAAAAAAAATGAAAACTAACAGAGTTCTTAAGAAGCAAATCTAGATCAATTCCCAATTCCACGACAATAATCAATTCCGGCAACGAACGAAATAATGATATGAGATCAAGTAGGGCTTCTCTTTCATGAGTTTTGATGATGAAGGAACTTGTGGCGATTGCAGACGCAAAGTATTTGAGACGCTGCAGATAAAATCAGCTGTATCCAAGTACTTGTTCGACTCACTGATTTACAAACTTTGAACTAATTACCAACTGCAAGAAAAAAGAACGAGATTTATCGACCATGAAAAAGTCCGTAGAGAATCACTAGAGTGAAGAAATGACATCCACGATATCTGAACTGTGTCTTTTGAGTTTGATCATTCCAGTTTCAAAATTAAATATTAAATAAATCTTCCAGTATAAAAAAGTGAGACAGACAAGGTTCTTGTATGATATGCAGTTGAAGAAGATAATAAGAAGGCAGAAATGCTGCCTCAGAGATGGTCTGAGTGGCACCGGCCAGCAACGACCGTACTGTAGGGCATACAATCTAGGAAGTGATGTTGAGAATCAACACGAAGAGGGAAAAACTTCAAAAGTAATGGTGCCCGCCCCCCCTCCGCTCACGTAGTTCCATTGTCAACGTTTCTTTCACAATTCTGCTTGTATGCACTGTTTTTTCATCCCCAAACATACTGAAAAAAAAAACGAAAAGCGGGACTAAGTGAATCCTTCAAAAACAAATTCTTTGAAACAACAGCAGACCTGATGAGCCTTGTTCCAACTAGTGAATCTGCCTTTAAGCACTTGTAGTTTGCATTATCTGTGCAAAAGAATTTCCTGAAGAGTTTCCGGAACCTGCAAGCATGGGAATAATGACACTGCGACCTTGAGTAGATAATCATTTCAACAAGGAAACTGTTAGTAACTCACGGACACAGACGATCTTAAGCTACGGTAGCACAGGTCGTGATTACAACAAACGAGTGCACTACAACAAACGAAGGCACTACTTTAATTACTGAACCTACGATTTTGAAACATTCCCTTGCAGAAATGTCCCAACAATTTACCTCCACTTCAATAGAACCGCTGGAAATTTGACGTTCGACTATCACGGACGATGCGAAGTTCTCGCCATTCTCTGCATTCCCCGACCCACTCCTTAGCACATCCACAACAAGTAGATTGACGGCAGGAGGCTAAGCAGACAGTCATTATTTAGTGGATTTGTATCTGATGACATGGTTATCGCAAGCAGCTAGAGCTCTTCTATAGATGTTTCATGAGGTGTGACGGAGCTTGTGTGAAGTGACATTTCACCAACTGGTTTGAATGAATAGCAATCGAATGAAAGATCATTGCCAGGAGCACTGAACTGAGTGTTGTATAGATATCAAATATGAAGAACGTACGCCTCACAACTGATAGCGATTCTGCAGATAAAACACCGATCATGGATGCCTGGATGGATGCCGCGGAATACAATTTTTAATAAATGCTGAATTGATTTAAGTCGCAAGCATCATGTTTGATGAGTCCGATATGCCGTAGGATAAGTGTGATGAGTGTCGATATCGAGGAGCAATGCTATTCATGATGAGTAAATAAAGCGATACTCAAAGATTTATTAGGAAAAGAGGAAATGATGAGACCACAATGAACTTAACAATAAATAAACAGGTATGAACGAATGATATTACAGATACTATTTAGTTATTGTGACTTGATCATGGTTAAAAACATGATGCGGGAAGGAACCATAAACTCCCGATGACCACGTCTCAATGCTATAGTAACAACATGATTACATAAAACAGATGCAGTCAAAGGTGACAGGAAAAACTGTAAACCAGCTGGTGTTTAGTCAGAGACGGCTACATACATTCTTCTATTGCCAACGGATCTGAACTCCCTGGCCCTGGAAGCGACCTACCTGGTCACCACCAGCATATCCACCCTGATCACCAAACCCAGCGACACCATGATTACTTGGCATCTGTGGGGTGGTTTCTTGGGCAGATCGCATCTGTGCCATTGCTGCTACTCCTAATCCCAGACCAAGGCCCATAATGTTGTATTTGGCGAGTACCTTGAACATGTCTTTTAAAGATAAGCACCATCGCATAAAATTTATTGATCTACCTGCATGGCCTGCATAACTTCAGCTACACTGGCTTCGTTAAATCCGGATGAGCGGAGAGTTGACTGAAGATTGTCGAGGAACGATAGTAACTAAACAGCTCCATTTCTATCAGATTATCAGCACAAAGCAAACTCTATTTGTATCAGACAAAGAGCATTCAAAACGTGATGCTGCCAATTTGTATGCAACATCTGAATGAACCCGATTTAAAACAGCATAGCCTGCAAGGCGACTAGCACAGGGGTGTTTGCACGAACAACTGCCTATGTAGAGAGGTTATCCAGAAGTACTGACAACTGAAACCCTTGTGTCCTTTGACGCATTCTGGACACTTGTAGAACCCGGCGCTGCATGTAAATGTTAAATGGACAAGGAACAGCCCTCCCAGGTCAGAAGGCTGATTGAGCGCGACGATGACTGGCGATAACACCTCATCAGCATTCTATGGGAACCGTAACTGAAATTAATAGAACGCACTATTGCAGAAGGTTCTACAGGAAGACGGAAGTCGTGTTTGTGGCAACCGAACTAATCAAGTTGATGTGACGTGCTGACAAGGAAATAAGAATGTGAGGGAATGACACTCTACATTTTGAAACCACTAGGAATAAAAGTATTCGGCTGATAACTGATGGGCCTCTTTAAGTTTAAAAAATGACATAATATTGACAACAATTGCACATCCTAGAAAGACGAATAATGATACCTCTTGATTTCCGAGACCGCTCATAGGATTGAACTTTACAGCTTGCTGCTGGTTGGCTTGATATCCGTATGTCTGAGTCGTAAACGCGGCGGGAGCCGCATTAAACGTGGATGAAGTACCACCGTTACTGAAGGCGGAGCTGGACGTGAACGAAGGATTCCAGTCTGCTAGAACAGCGTTTAAAAACTGATCCCATTATGTGGAGAAAAAATGAAAGAAAATTCAAACCAATTCACCCTAACTGGGACCACTTTTTCCTCCGAAATCCTCCTTGTTGATTTCACTTGTGTGATGTGGGTCTGCCACTACCTTCTCCAGCACACGACACGTAGCTTGGATTAGTTGCTAAAAAACAAAATATTATAGGATTACAATGATACGCGCATGATCATATTGCGAATTAGCGCGTTTTGCTTCTAAAAGAGCCTGACAGATGATTTAGGACCAGGCGCCATATACCAAGCGCACAATCCGAAGGTCTCGTAACGGACTACTCGACTTTTCCTCAATGGTACTGGATTAGAGAACGGGTGAATGTCCTAGAACTGAGCCTTGGAGAGAGAGGGACTCGCGAGAGAGCGCAGAGGCGTTTGAAGGGCTGTGTTCAGTAGTCCGTCGACCCGAATGCTACACAGGTCATTACATCATAGGCTTTTCATCTCGGCGGACCATATACCTTTCTTCTTTTTATTCTTCATACGTTGTCCCGCGTTGCAGGCAGGGTCGCCATTCTAGTATGCTGACGCAACTTTTCCCGATTGCTTGGGTAGGAGTGGATGTTAACCGATTTCAAATCTTCGTGCAAATGAAGCCAGAGCTGCTTCTGGGCGTCCTATGGGCCGCGCTTTTCTGGAAACACACATCAAAATCGAAACCAATCTTACGGACACAGTCATTAATCGCGCGAAGAACACGACCGTACTATCGAAGACGGGCCTTGTGAATTTTGCCGACAGATTATCAGACACATTACTATTGACTGGGAGGGACAATAACACAGACTTCTACACAGGTTTCCTCCTAGTCATATAGTTGGTCAACCAGGAGAACCGTCACGGTGAGAAGAATTTTAAAATACCACCACCCTCACTATCACGCTGTACTCAGGTACGCTGTTTGCGTTTGTTTGCATGTTTGAACCACCTACTCCTAATACTTTCTTTTCTTACGACTCCTAGCGCTAGTTACTCATCCGAATAATGATAGCTGGTTAACGGAGGTTCAAATGACAGTAAAAATAGAATTGGGACTACGATAGTCATTACGCAGTTAGACGGACGAGCGGCAATGCTTTACAAACATCGCAAAATGCCTTTAGTTTTGAATAACATACCGAGTGATCCTCATGCGCCAGCGTAACGATTCGCTCTAGTGAATTCTGTGCTTCGGCGGATCCCGCTTTAGGAAAAACCTGTAAGATAAAGTCTGAATAGAGGCAAACTATTCAGAATATGAGAAACCAAACAAACCTGAATCTGACATCCATAAGTTTCACGGATATCCTTGATATTTGTGCCCGATTTCCCAATGACCATACCAGCTGATGTGTTTGGCATGACTATTTTCACCTGCAATATTTAGGATCAGAGTAGGGGAGCCCAATGTATCCAAGACCAGAAGATACAGCACTACCAGAACTGATCAATAAAACGATTCTAATTACTGCACCCAATAGCAAAACCACTGTAGGAACAGTCAGGGAGAAGAAGCAAAATTATGGTCAATGTGAGGGCTCTCCAACCGCCTCATAATCACTTCCGCCATCGCTCGAAATACGAAAAATGAACAAACCTAAGCAGTTCTCTCTGCGAGATCGCGTCTACTGTGACTCTGAATTCCGCTCAATGTGAGCCGAGTAGACTCCAAAAGTTTGAGGCCCTTCTACAACCCTTTGGCAACCGCTGCTTCGCGAACAACGAGAATAAGAGTTGCGTTATGACTACCTCATTTCTCTCCAACAGATCCAATGAACCAAATCACAAACTGGCGATAGCAATATAAGTAACCTTCCCGACCTCAGAATCAACGCGGGCTTTTAGTGGTAAATAAAGGTGACCATGACCAGTTTCCGCTGCTTAACGATACTGACGTTCTACTGCTTTGAATCTTAGATAGTATATAGTAGTTAAAAACCTCATTTCCACGGCTGACTCCTTTGTGATCGAACGCATCAGAGCTTGTAGAACCCTCGCATTTCTCGCGAATCTTTTGTAGTATAACGTCAATAACACCAAGCACATTCTGAACTCTTCCTTTCACCAGGCAAATACGCTCACTTGTTCCTGTAAAAGTTTAGCGAACATGTCTCCCAATCACGTTAACGCAAACTACCGACATTTTCAAAAGCGAAAACAGCGCTCACCTGGATATGTCTCTGAACTCTTGCTCATTTGGACTCGGCATTGGTGATCATTCTTCAGATTCCTCATCGCTTCTCCACCCTTGCCAATTATTGCCCCAACGGCAGCCGAAGGAATCAGGATTTTCACAGCCAACTGATCTATATGTCATGAATTCATTAGTGTGAAACACCAAGCAAATAGGCGATTAGAAAACTTACTATCATCTCCATCAACATGTGCTCGCTTGCTTGCAGGACCGTCATATGAATCCTGACCTCTTTTAGTACCTGCGGACTGAATTACAGAGAGAGGGTTACCCTCATCATTGTGATTATTGTCTGCCATAACTGCAGAATAGTTGCTCACTAGAAAACAAATGTCATAGAAAACTGTTTTAGGCTCCTCCAGGACCAAGATTGACAGCGATGACATAAAGATTGCGTCCGATAGGGAGATGAACAAAAGTGTTCCTGATAACATCAGTGATTTAATTCCACAAAGAGCTCTAAATACCCTAAATACGGTGAGCTTTCAGCAAATGGTCGTGACCCTTCACTATTATTGGAATTCATCCCCAAAAAAAGTGCAATCACACTGAGGAATCATTCCAAAGCCTAGGAGACAAAAAAGACTGAAAACCACGACACTCCCCGCACGCAGAAGTGGAGATGACGCCGTGAGAGGAAGGCCAGTAGCACGACCTCGATCGATAGCAGCGACTGACCGCGCCGCGACCGCTCACGAGCCACGGTGAAGGGCGCGTGGTTCAAAAACCTATTCCTGCTCACTGTCACTGCAGTCGAGTCTTGAACGATTTGAGACCCTGATGGTAGAGGCGCCCAAGCAGGGTCAACCGTCACGTTCGAACATTTTCGGGATTTTTGCGACCCCCTAGCTCTCGAGGGGGTCCAGTTGCGACCCCCTGTTTTTGTTAATAAGAGTGCTAGACATGAATCCGTTGCGCCAGAAAGCGTCTGCGCCGCCGCAGAAAGCGTCTGCATTGCGGCGTCAGCCTTGGAGCGCGGCAGGTATCACCCGGGCGCTGGAAGAACGGGACGCGGCGAAGAAAAAATTTTAGAGGGGAATAACTTTCTTGGGACGTATTTTTTTGACTTGTTGAGGTAGATTTTGATTGTGCCTGAGGTGCGCTTCCAGAAAACTACAAGGATTGCCTAACTCTCCGGAAAGTACTTCTGTTAGAAGTGGAAAACCCAAAATTCTAAGAAGGCGCACCTTCAACTTTGAAGGCCCATAATATCTTTCGTATGCGACCTTTTGGAAAGCTGTCAAAAGTTTCAGAAACTTCAAATATTTCTCTATCAAAACAGTATAAAAAGTTTAGTGATTGTCCCCTTTTTCAAAAAATTGTCCCGTTCGAACATTTTTCGTGCAAAAGCGAGTTTTTGGGCTTTCAGCGACCATAACTCACTTCATTTTCATTTCTGTGATGCACTTTTTTCATGGGGTGAAAGTACAGGATTTGCTCTTTCTAACAAGCCCCAAACCGTTTTTCAAAGTTCATTTTTCGAGAAAATCACACGTTCGAACATTTTGGGGGGTTTTGCCGAACACTTTTTTTGAAATCGCGAGTTTTTGGGCTTTAAGCGGGCATAACTCACTTCATTTTCACTTCTGAGATGCACTTTTTTCATGGGGTGAAAGTACAGGATTTGCTCTTTCTGAAAAGCACCAAACCGTTTTTCAAAATCCATTTTCCGAGAAAATCACACGTTCGAACATTTTGTTCCCATAGGTTTTTGAGCAGCACATGCGAGTTTTTGAGCTTTCAGCAATAATAACTTCCTTCAAAAAGTTGTTGGGGAGGGGCGAAGACATTTTTGAAGACTACGAGATTTCTGCTTTCTTATGTGTTTACCGTTGTCTGGAAGAATCGTCCTCAGAAAATTAGGTCCCGAAGAACTTTAATTTCAGCCCCGAGAAGTCAAACCTTTCATAGGGATGCATTCAACTGTTCTTTATTCCTCAAGAAAACACCGTAATTTGCCTAAAACTGTCTCTCTGTGCATAATTAATCGAATCTAATGCGGTCTGCACAAACAATTCTTGCCCTCGGATACGCCACGCACGCGCCTGTGGCTGGCAGTCCTCGAAATTGCGACCCCCTTCCGACCAAAATGCGACCCCTTCGTTCGAACAGTTCGAACGGACGGTTGACCCTGGTCCAAGGCATCTGTTGAGCCTTCCAAAAAGGTAATGAGCTAAGTGCGCGATAGGGGTGGGGCCTCCAATTGCGTCAAATCACGGAACGTTTCAGGCGAAACTCGAGTTCGGGGGGGGGGGGGAGGGGCAACGCGGACGGCGCGCGCTCTGTTCGTCTGCCCCTAAAGGGTCAGACGTCACAGGAGAGCCTACTTCTTTCGCCATTATGTGCAAGTTTCAAAATACGGCGTCCAGTGGACCTAAGCTTTGAGCGGACGGAAACAGCCCGCTGCCGCGAGTCGCCTGCCACGCCCTCCCCCCGAAACCCGAGTTTCGCCACGTCAGTTTAGTCAGCGAAAACCAAAGACTACCCTTGTTATCAAGAGGGAATCCGAGGTGTGTAAGCAATTCTCATTCTCTCCGGAATTTATCCTCCGATAAACTGGTCCTAGTGGGCTTCTCACAGTGCCCCTCCCCTCTCCCCGGAGACATATTGCACCACTAGCTGTCTGAGGAACATAGTAAAACCTTCATATTTCCCCCAGATTCGTTCGTCCAAATCCTCGGTCTTCTTTTATGTTCATGTATGTAGAGGGCGAAGTTAGCGATGAACAGGCATCCCACATGAAATGAAAGGTAATAGATGTGGTCAGTGGGGCATGGAAGAAGAAAAAACCATGAGAAACGGCCCAGAGCTCCAGAAAGGGGACCCCTTTTCTACCCGTTGCTTTCCTCATTGACGCGATTCTCATCGGTGCTGTCCTTTTCTTCTCTCATTTTCATTTCTCTAATGCTCTCTCCGCTAAACGGCCATGGTCAGACGGCGAAGAGTGGGGCGAGCAGCGGCGCGAGCGGCTCGGGTATAGCTTACTAGGCCGCTGGGAGCATACCCTATTGTTGCCAAAAGCACCAGAAAGGCATTCACTCATCATGTGGACACACTGGATCTGCCTCAGACACTGATGATCGATCTCCGTTTCCCGGTAAGTAAAATTCAACGCATATTTCAATCGATAAAGGAGGAATGGCAGCGTCGAACTGAACCAGGACGATCTTTCAGCTCGGGTTATGTTTTTTCAAAAAGGTTTTTTTGCAATATCTCTAGGGACAGGTGAGTCCGGTAACCATGGGAATCTGCGTGGGCGCTTCCTTGGTCGTTAGGGGCACATTCAAAGTGAGAGAGCCGAACGTTAAACCAGTACTTGAGGGCTAAAGCCTAAAAGGGAAGTTTGAGGGCGTGAAGTGAGCATTTTGTCTCATCCTGGAGTTCCGCGCCTCTCTCCTGCGCTTACGATTAGTTTCCAATCAACGGCTCATCGCAAGTTTCAAGTTTGTTTGTTGTTTTGATATGTCCACCTGCCCCGTTTGGTTAATGGCTCGATCTCGTCGTGAAAAAGTTTGCAAATATTTCTGAGGCACTTGCATGATGCCGCAAAATGATACCTGCGGCCTAGTAAAGGATGCATTTTTCTATAGGGATCGTAAATAGCTTATATGAATAGGTTTTTACCAAGAACTGGTGTCAAAAATATAACTGCTAGGTTTTAAACTAATCTTTTTGACATTCCAGAGAGCTACTCTGAAAAATGAGTCCACAGTCCTGTACTCCATGCATGAACCCCTGTATCGTGCAAGGAATAGTTTTCAAAAAGCTGAACACGACCTGAAAGCCTCGTAAAGCGAAAAGGCCTGGTGAGATCAACAATGTTGCAAAAAACACCCCCCTGGCAAGGTTCGTCAGGATCATTACGAAAGAACTTCCCGCAATCGTGGAGCGAATCTAAGCAAAGCTGTCTAGGAACCTCGCAGGACCACCTACGTGACTGTGAAAAAGGGCTTTCGTAGTTTGGCATCTGACGATTTCACCTCATGTAATAGAAAGTTGGCAAAAAAGATTCTGCTGGAACAAGGCCTAGCAAGGTCGCCTTTATGCGATGAAGGAATGGACGAGAAGATCTCCACTATGAGAATATGTCAGATATTCTTAAAATGACAGACGGTTGCTGGATCATGACTGTGGACGGTAAACCTCATATGCACATCGAACGCCTTTTTTTTTAACTGTCATCATTCGAACAAGAGTGCCGATCTGAAAACACGTTGTTTTCTTCGGAAAAAAATCTGCACCATAATCAGATCTACCAGACAAAAATGTTCATCAAGCGTGGGCCTTCTTGACTGCCTCAGCTTAACAAAAGGCTCAAAACAGAACTACTGGAAAGAAAAGCAGAAGTAAGGCCTAATGTTCTGCAAGGTCCCCAGCAGCAATGTTAGCAGTAGGAAAGCTAAGTACGGGAGTAGATGTACTAGAATCTCACTTCTAGCCAGGTCCTCTCGTTAAGCAGTCCAACTCGCTTATCAAGGAGAAAAGTTGCTTTTCACAATGTCATAATGACGAAACCAGCGTCAGACATCTTCCTTATTGTAGGTGTTCTTGATGCGACAAAAATACTGCTTTTTATTTGTTCTTACGAATGTTTGAAACATAAAATGAAGTAGAATGGTATTATTCCAACACTTCTACGATGCGCCGTGTATTCGAATTTCATCTGTAAAAGCAGAACTTCCAAAAGTAAGCATAGGTAAGCAAGCGTCTAGTGCTTCTTTCGTTTTCATGGATATATTATTGTAGACATCCGGTTTCAAATTATTACAGTGCGTGAAAACGTGTAAATTATCAGTGTGATAAAAATAGTAAATGATGTTACCGACGTTCTGACCTTGGCAGAACGTTACTGATGAAAGTATTCAGGGTGCTTCTTTGTCTGGCGTGAAGACCGCAATTACGGTCGTTTAATGTTACGACGAAAACCTTTTCCTGGAACCTTTTGTCAAAGTCCTGTTCGCTGCACGATGTCTGCCAATCAATCACTGCGTCATTTTCGCAAAGAGGGGCGGTGTTGATTGGGAATGACCAAATAGCTTGAATGTCCTAAATCACTTTTACGCGCTGCAACAAAATCGCTTGACGATAAGGGCGATCATGACGTTTTCTTTCCATTCGCTGTCCTCCAAATGATTTCAAAAATCACCACAGAAACAATCGAACATCTATTAAAAATTGAGCTATCACTGGGCAGAAACTACAACAGGAGAGGAGGAGCGGGGAGGGACATAAAAGTCACTTAGTCTCATGGCTCAGCCAACAAACTTTTCGTGCACTCTACAACCACTGTTGATGGAAT